CGTCACCCCACATCCCATCAGATCGTACGGCCCCCAGTCACCTCAGATCCCATCAGATCTTACGGCTCCGTCACCTCAGATCCCATGTCGCAGGTTTTTGCTGAACATTCGGCAACGCTCAGGTGTTGTGTTTCAGAGATGGAATGTGGGCGTGTCCTACCTGCCTCCAGAAACGTCTATGAATGGCGATTGTCTTCTCAGACCTCCAATCATCACTTCTTTCAGTTCAAGAAACATCCCGACCTTCTCTTCCCTTCTCAGCACCTCAATCGCAGAGATCCGGCCGCCGTCCTACGATTTGCTTCGCTGCTTTTGGAACCTTACAGAGATTAATATTTATTTTAATGCTTTGGCTGTTGATCGCCTTTTTCCCTAAGGCTACTTTTGCACTGATCTGCCGCAAAAAAGGTCGTTTTTAAAAGGACACATGACTTTAAAAACTGCACCAAAAAATGCTTCTCAGAGGCCATTTTTTTTTAGGCGTTTTTTTTTTTGAGGTGCTTTACAGACAGGCGTTTTTCCAGCGTTTTCCATTGATTTTCAAATGCTGCCTTCTCAGAGGCATTTTTTCAAGGCTTTTTTTGTTTAATTTCAATGGAAGAGTGCATTTTCAAGGCGTTTTCAGGTGTGTTTTCCATTGATTTCAATGGGAAGAGGCATTTTCGAAGGTGTTTTTCTAAGCACTTTTCAGGTGTTTTCCATTAATTTCAATGGGAAGAGGCATTTTCAAGGCGTTTTTCCAGGCATTTTCCATTGATTTCAATGGGAAGAGGCGTTTTCAAGGTGTTTTTCAGGCGTTTTCCATTGATTTCAAATGGGAAGAGGCGTTTTCACAAGTGTGTTTTTTTTCAAGGTGTTTTTCAGGCATTTTCCATTGATTTCAATGGGAAGAGCTGTCTATCAAGGCACTTTGTAGATGCATTTTCCAATTGATTTCAATGGGAAGAGGCATTTTCAAGGCGTTTTTTTCAGATGCCTTCATGTGTTCACCATTGAGTTTCAATGGGAAGAGGCGTTTTTTTCCTCAGGCTCTTTTAAGGTGTTTTCCATTGATTTCAATGGGAAGAGGCATTTTTTCAGGCATTTTCCATTGATTTCAATGAGAAGAGGCATTTTCAAGAGGCCAGGCATTTTCTATTGATTTCAATGAGAAGAGGCATTTTTGAGCCGTCTTTCAGATGCTTTTTCAGGCATTTTTCCATTGATAGCAATGGGAAGATGCATTTGAGAGGCATTTTTTCAGGCGTTTTTTCATTGATTTTTAGTGGGAAGAGGCGTTTTTGGGGCATTTTTTAACTCGCCAAACATGCCCCAAAGATGCTGCAAACGGGAGTTTTTTACACCGCTCTGCAAGCACAAACGCCTCCGTGTGAAAACATACATGGATAAATAACATTCACCATACATATGGAAGCATTTTTCTTGAGCTTTTCAGGTGCTTTTTTTAAAAAAAAGCAACGAGACAACGCTTCACAAACTCCTCAGTGTAACAGTAGCCTAATAGCTGACTTGTGTAATGGTTTTACACAGAGCAGCCCCGATCCTCCTTCTTCTCTGGTCCCCCCCACCCCTGGTGCTCCTGGCCCCTCCCCTCTGCTAATTGCCCCCATAGGAAGCCGCTTGCTCTGGGGGCACTCATGCATGCTCACTCCCAAGCCGGCTCTATGTGTCAATATGACACACAAAGCGCACTCAGTGCCCCCGCACCGCCCGCGACCCGCCTGTTCCTTCCCTCATTGGCTGTGATGTATTAACAGCAGTGAGAGCCAAGGGGCAAATATTCTCCCTCTGCTGTCCCTTAACCAATGAGGGGAGAGAGCCTTGAGGTCTGAGGGGGGAAGAAACCCAGTAGAAGGATGTGCTTTGTTTCATTTTTCATTTAGAAGGTTTTACAACTTTAGGACCCAGTTTGGGTGCCCCGGGCAGTCTTTCTCAGCCTCTCTTTCCCTGGGTGACCCTGCTAGAATAAATGCAAGGTCTAAAAATGGTGAGGTGCTGGGGAGGTCTATTGATGCTGGTGGGTGATCTAATGCTGTTGTGGGAGGGAGGGTTCTATTGAGGTGGGGAGGTCTTTTGATGCTGGTGGGGATCTATTGTTGTGGTGGGAAGGGTTCTATTGTGGTGGGGAGGTCTTTGATGCTGGTGGGGTCTATCCATTGTTGGGGGGGGTTCTATTGTGCTGGGGAGGTCTTTTGATGCTGGTGGGGGATCCATTGTTGTGGGGGGGGGGGGTCTATTGTGCTGGGGAGGTCTGTTCATGCTGAATGGGGGATCTTTTGTTTGTGTGGGGGGTTCTATTGTGCTGGGGAGGTCTGTTCATGCTGGTGGGGGATCTGTTGGGTGGGGGACTGTCTGTATGTTGTGGGGGGGTGGGGAGTGTTGTGGGGGGGTTTTCTATTGTGCTGGAGAGGTCTATTGATGCTGGTGGGGGATCCATTGTTGTGGGGGGGGAGGGTTCTATTGTGCTGTGGAGGTCTATTGATGCTGTGGGGGGATCTGAAGTGACTACCATCAAGTGATAAATGGAGATGAAACAAATCCTCCTACATAAGTTTGTATCTGTTTATTTGCAACCCTCTCTCCTTTACAGTTGATCAAAGTCCAGAATTTTTCACAGCATTTCTGAGCTTCAGAGGAGAGGGGAACAGAGAGGTGATGTCACACACTGCGCAACATAGAGCTTAGTGTAATATGACACCTGAGTGAGTGGAAGGAATGGACACACCAGTTAGGGGTGGAGGGTGTGTAAGCTGCACTTGGGTGACACCCACCAGAGGGGTGACACCTCTCCGGGGTCCGCTCCGGCCCAGAGACAGTCAGGATCTCTGGCTTGAATGAGCCGCCATGTTTCCAGAGTCCAACCCCCATTCATCCCTATAGGGGGATCTGAAAAGATGGCGGTGCCCATGAAGCAGGTGCCAGGAGGAGGAGATTTGTGGACGGGATGGGATGATGGTTTCTGCTGCTTGTGAACTAAAGATCAGAGAGAAGACCAGAGAGAGACAGCATGTCGGTGTGTGTGTTTGCGTACCCCCCCCCCCCCCCCAGCACACACACACTGACATGGTTCACCCTATCCATCACCCTTCACATACTAGCATGGTGTAATCCATTCATTACCCCCCCCCCCCCCCCCCCCAAATACTGACCTAAATATTTCATTATCCACCCCCCAGCATACTGACTCTCCCCCCAGCATACTGACATGGTACATTCCATCCATAAAAAACACGCACATACTATGGTACATTCCATTCATCACTCTCCCCCTCACATACTAACATGGTACATTCTATTCATCACTCCCCCCCCCCCCCCCCCCCCCATCACATACTAACATGATACATTCTATTCATCACTCCCCCCCCCCCCCCCGTCACATACTAACATGATACATTCCATTCATCACTCCCCCCCCCCCCGTCACATACTAACATGGTACATTCTATTCATCACTCCCCCCCCCCCCCGTCACATACTAACATGGTACATTCCATTCATCACTCCCCCCCCCCCCCCATCACATACTAACATGGTACATTTCTATTCAACACTCCCCCCCCCCCCATCACATACTAACATGGTACATTCTATTCATCACTCCCCCCCCCCCCCCCATCACATACTAACATGGTACATTCTATTCATCACTCCCCCCCCCCCCCCCCCCGCCGTCACATACTAACATGGTACATTCCATTCATCAAACCCCCCCCCCCATCACATACTAACATGGTACATTCTATTCATCATCCCCCCCCCCTCACATACTAACATGGTACACTCCATCCATCACTCCCCCCCTCACATACTAACATGGTACATTCCATTCATCACCCCCCCCCCCCACCACCTCACCTAACATGGTACATTCCATTCATTCCCCACCCCCCCATACTGATATGGTACATTCTATCCATCACCCCCCCCTCCCATGGTTTGGGGGGGGTGTGACACCATGTTTTACCGCACCAGGTGACACCAACCCTAGTGATGCTACTGGGACAACCCCCCCCCCCCCCCTCTACAAAGTCTCCTAGGGAAACATGCACAGCTGAGGCTGCCAATCACCGGTCCTGTTAGAAGGGGGCGGGGCCATCTCCTGTGACTGTCTGGTGTAGTCGGTCACAAATGACTCTTCATAGAAGGATGTGCTTTGTTCATCTTTCATATAGAAGTTTTACAACTTTAAGACCGGGGGGGGGGGGGCAAATCGCATCAGACCGCCCGGGCCACGCCCTATCTCAGCCTCGTTTCCCTGGATGACCCCGCTGAATAAATGTAAGCTCTACAATTGGGAATATATATCTCCCCCACAGATCATTATTATAGAACACTTTTCTATAAATTGTATCAATAATCATCATACAGATCAATAATAAACAGACTGAAATCTATCGCCCCCTGTGGTCAGCGAAGGAATGCCCCCGCCACTGGTGATCGGTATAGAAGTGACCCCCTTACATTGTGGGGATTTGCCTCCATATGTTCGTAGTCCCTGTAAATGGGAAAATCAATCTGTCATTGGTCACTGCTCAAGGACCCCCCCCCCCCTCCCAGCAACCTCTGGAGGAACAATCCTGGTAGGGAAATCTGGCTGTGCGTTTGTCTCTGTCCACTTTGTGTTCAATAAAGTTGTGAAAACTTTTTATTTTCATGGGGCTGTTTTATTTTTGGAGAGAAGAAGATGGAGGTTTGTAATCCTGAATGACTGAAGGGGAGGAGCCGGTACACCTGTGCAAGACTGAAGGGGAGGAGCCGGTACAACCTGTGCAAGACTGAAGGGGAGGAGCCAGTACACCTGTGCAAGACTGAAGGGGAGGAGTCGGTAGACTTGTGCAATACTTGAGGGGAGGAGCCAGTACACCTGTGCAAGACTGGAGGGGAGGAGTCGGTATACCTGTGCAAGACTGGAGGGGAGGAGTCGGTATAACCTGTGCAAGACTGGAGGGGAGGAGTCGGTATACCTGTGCAAGACTGATGGGGAGGAGCCGATACACCTGTGCAAGACTGAAGGGGAGGAGCTGATACACCTGTGCAAGACTGATGGGGAGGAGCCAGCACACCACTGCAAGACTGAAGGGGAGGAGCCAGTAGACTTGTGCAAGACTGAGGGGAGGGGAGGAGCCAGTACACCTGTGCAAGAGTGAAGGGGAGGAAACTGGAACACCTGTGCAAGAGTGAAGGGGAGGAGCCGGAACACCTGTGCAAAACTGAAGAGGAGGAGCCGGTACACCTGTGCAAGAGTGAAGGGGAGGAACTGGAACACCTGTGCAAGACTGGAGGGGAGGAGCCGGTACACCTGTGCAAGACTGGAGGGGAGGAGCCGGTACACCTGTGCAAGACTGAAGGGGAGAGGAGCCGGTACACCTGTGCAAGACTGAAGGGGAGGAGCCGTTACACCTGTGCAAGACTGAAGGGGAGGAGCCGTTACACCTGTGCAAGACTGAAGGGGAGGAGCCGTTACACCTGTGCAAGACTGAAGGGGAGGAGCCGTTACACCTGTGCAAGACTGAAGGGGAGGAGCCGGTACACCTGTGCAAGACTGAAGGGGAGGAGCCAGTACACCTGTGCAATTTCAGCATCCTCCAATACAATGTTGCAGAATAAAGATAAAGAATGTTTAGTCACATGACCAGAAAGATTAGAGCCGACCCCCGCCGAGCGCCAAATGTAATGCGGCTGAGAATGATGAAGGGAAATATTCGGGCCGGGCGTACACCGGACTATTCTTAGCTCTCCAACTGATCCATAATAGAATAAAAACAGAAGATTTCATTTTCCAGCTCCGACTTTTCTCCTGTGTGTGTCATGGAGCCAGGAGCCCTACAAATCAGAAACCGTCCAGAAAAGAAGAAACACACAAAAAGACATCAGAAGGGGAGAAGAATGAGGGTAGCGGGGGGGAGGGGGAGAAGAATGAGGGTAGCGGGGGAGGGGAGAAGAATGAGGGTAGTGGGGGAGGGGAGAAGAATGAGGGTAGTGGGGGAGGGGAGAAGAATGAGGGTAGCGGGGGAGAGGAGGTGGGCTCTCTGGAATTTCCCAGAGACCAAGAGTGGCCATAAGCAGCCCAATCCCTATAGAGGGGTCTCCAGACTTCCAAAACAAAGGGCTGGTCTGAGGTCCTTCAGACTTTATGGGGGTTAGATTTTGGCCAGTGGGGACATGCCCCAGTGTCAGGGTGAGGGGACTCAGGCTTGGTGGTGGTGGGAGGTATGATTACATAGCATCTGTAGTGGGAGGAATAGTGCCCCATCATTGTGTCAGTGGGAGGAATAGTGCCCCATCATTGGTGTCAGTGGGAGGAATAGTGTCCCCATCATTGGTGTCAGTGGGAGGAATAGTGCCCCATCATTAGTATCAGTGGGAGGAATAGCGCCCCATCATTGGTGTCAGTGGGAGGAATAGTGCCCCATCATTGTGTCAGTGGGAGGAATAGTGCCCCATCATTGGTGTCAGTGGGAGGGATAGTGCCCCCATCAATGGTGTCAGTGGGAGGAATAGTGCCCCATCATTGGTGTCAGTGGGAGGAATAGTGCCCCATCATTGGTGTCAGTGGGAGGAATAGCGCCCCATCATTAGTATCAGTGGGAGGAATAGCGCCCCATCATTGGTGTCAGTGGGAGGAATAGCGCCCCATCATTGGTGTCAGTGGGAGGAATAGTGCCCCATCATTAGTATCAGTGGGAGGAATAGTGCCCCATCATTGGTGTCAGTGGGAGGTAATAGTGCCCCATCATTGGTGTCAGTGGAGGAATAGTGCCCCATCATTGGGTGTCAGTGGGAGGAATAGTGCCCCATCTTTGGTGTCAGTGGGAGGAATAGTGCCCCATCATTGGTGTCAGTGGGAGGAATAGTGCCCCATCATTGGTGTCAGTGGGAGGGATAGTGCCCCATCATTGGTGTCAGTGGGAGGGATAGTGCCCCATCATTGATGTCAGTGGGAGGGATAGTGCCCCATCATTGGTGTCAGTGGGAGGAATAGTGCCCCATCATTGGTGTCAGTGGGAGGAATAGTGCCCCATCATTGAGTGTCAGTGGGAGGAATAGCGCCCCATCATTGGTGTCAGTGGGAGGAATAGTGCCCCATCATTGGTGTCAGTGGGAGGAATAGTGCCCCATCATTGGTGTCAGTGGGAGGAATAGTGCCCCATCATTGGTGTCAGTGGGAGGAATAGTGCCCCATCATTGGTGTCAGTGGGAGGAATAGCGCCCCATCATTGGTGTCTAGTGGGAGGATAGCGCCCCATCATTGGTGTCAGTGGGAGGAATAGCGCCCCATCATTGGTGTCAGTGGGGGAGGAATAGTGCCCCATCATTGGTGTCAGTGGGAGGAATAGTGCCCCATCATTGGTGTTAGTGGGAGGAATAGTGTCCCATCATTGGTGTCAGTGGAAGGAATAGTGCCCCATCATTGGTGTCAGTGGGAAGAATAGTGCCCCATCATTGGTGTCAGTGGAAGGAATAGTGCCCCATCATTGGTGTCAGTGGGAGGAATAGTGCCCCATCATTGGTGTCGGTGGGAGGAATAGTGCCCCATCATCGGTGTCGGTGGAGGAATAGTGCCCCATCATTGGTGTCGGTGGGAGGAATAGTGCCCCATCATGGTGTCAGTGGGAAGAATAGTGCCCCATCATTGGTGTCATTGGGAGGAATAGTGCCCCATCATTGGTGTCAGTGGGAGGAATAGTGCCCCATCATTGGTGTCAGTGGGAGGAATAGTGCCCCATCATTGGTGTCACTGGGAGGAATAGTGCCCCATCATTGGTGTCAGGGAGAGGAATAGTGCCCCATCATTGGTATCAGTGGGAGGAATAGTGTGCCCCATCATTGGTGTCAGGGTGAGGAATAGTGCCCCATCATTGGTGTCACTGGGAGGAATAGTGCCCCATCATTGGTGTCACTGGGAGGAATAGTGCCCCATCATTGGTGTCAGGGAGAGGAATAGTGCCCCATCATTGGTGTCAGTGGGAGGAATAGTGCCCCATCATTGGTGTCAGTGGGAGGAATAGTGCCCCATCATTGGTGTCAGTGGGAGGAATAGTGCCCCCGAGGGCTGGATTGAGGCCGGCAAGGGACGGCAGTTTGGAGACCATTGCTCTATAGGATAGAATGGAGACTGTGGTGTGAGACCGTCAGTGAGGGAGTTATTCAGCGCCGAGATCTCGACAGTTTGCCTGACACTCCCCAGATCCGAAGATGTGATTTGGATAAGACTATCTGGGGATACAATGTTGCAGTTGCTCAGACGCAGGGCTGTCTCAATGAATGAGCACTGTCCAGGGGCCACAGGTGCATGGGGGCCCCATAACAATCTTGCATTACATCATACTTGCCAACTGTCCAGGATTTGCCGGGATAGTCATGGTTTTTACTAAACTGTCCCAGGATTGCCTGTACCTGTACTGTGCCCTCCTGACCTCCCCCCCCCCCCCCGTACTGTGCCCTCCTGACCTCCCCCCCCCCCCCCCCCCCCCCCCCCCCTAGTACTGTGCCCTCCTGACCTCCCGCCCCCCCCCCCGTACTGTGCCCTCCTGACCTCCCCCCCCCCTGTACTGTGCCCTCCTGACCTCCCCCCCCCGTACTATGCACCCCTAACCTCCACCCCCCATTCCCCCGTACTGTGCCCTCCGGTCTCCCCCCCCCACGCTTTGTCCTTTGTATTGATTAGTCTTTGATTTATTCCATGTTTTCTTATTGTTTTTTAAAATCAATTTTTTTTAAAGTACTGAATAAATGTTTAATTCTGTCAACTATTTATACTTTAATGCTTGAGAGTAGATGTGTCAATTGGGGCAGGCTGTTAGGGGCCCCAGATGCAATTAGGATGGCCATGCTCAGACGTTCTAGACGCGCCCCCAGTAATTTGCCAATGCAAGTTCCTGTCTAGGATGGATGATCTCGGAGGTGTTGGCCTCCAGACTTGTAGTAGAGGTGGTCAGATAATGTCCTCCATCTGCTGTGCATCTGGAGCTGGGACTGAGGTGAGGGTTGATTGTTCCAGTAGACATGTCTTGGGTTGCTCCAAGGTTTGCCCCTGGCAATCTCTGCCCCTGGAATTATCTCTGGCTCTCAGGACTGACAAATTGTTCTCTCAGGTCTGGGTTTTTCCAGTTCAGCACTTTGCCCAGGGGCCCCAGATGCAATTAGGATGGCCCTGCTCAGACGTTCTAGACGCGCCCCAGTAATTTGCCAATGGAAGTTTCTGTCTAGGAAGGATGGTCTTAGAGGAGTTATCCTCCAGACTTGTATTAGAGGTGGTCAGATAACGTTCTCCATCTGCTGAACACCATGAGCTGGGACTGAGGTGAGGGTTGATTGTTCCAGTAGACATGTCTTGGGTTGCTCCAAGGTTTGCCCCTGGCAATCTCTGCCCCTGGAATTATCTCTGGCTCTCAGGACTGACAAATTATTCTCTCAGGTCTGGGTTTTCCAGTTCAGCACTTTGCCCAGGGGGCCATGATGCAATTAGGATGGCCCTGCTCATACGTTCTAGACGCGCCCCAGTAATTTGCCAATGCAAGTTCCTGTCTAGGATGGATGATCTCGGAGGTGTTTGCCTCCAGACTTGTAGTAGAGGTGGTCAGATAATGTCCTCCATCTGCTGTGCATCTGGAGCTGGGACTGAGGTGAGGGTTGATTGTTCCAGTAGACATGTCTTGGGGTGCTCTAAGGTTTGCCCCTGGCAATGTCTGCCCCTGGAATTATCTCTGGCTCTCAGGACTGACAAATTGCTCTCTCAGGCCTGGGTTTTTCCAGTTCAGCACTTTGCCCAGGGGGCATGATGCAATTAGGACGGCCCTGCTCAGATGTTCTAGACGCGCCCCAGTAATTTGCCAGTGGAAGTTTCTGTCTAGGATGGATGATCTCAGAGGACTTGGCCTCCAGACTTGTAGTATAGGTGGTCAGGTAATGTCCTCCATCTGCTGAGCACCTGGAGCTGGGACTGAGCGAGGGTTGGCTCTTCCAGTAGACGAGTCTTGGGGTGCTCCAAGGTTTGTCCCTGGCAATGTCTGCCATTGGAGTTATCTCTGGCTCTCAGGACTGACAAATGATTCCCTCAGGTTTGAGTTTTTCCATTTCGGCATTTATACCATTTAAACTCCAAAAAAAAGAAAAATAATAATTTGTCTTTCAGCGCCGAGTGTAACGTGGTCCTTCAGGTATGATGGTGTGTTATCTCCAGCCTTAGCAGAGGAGCATTCTGGGTAACGTGAAATGTCTGAAGCCCAAGAGGGCGGGTTATTGATATCTGAACATTTTTCTGTTCGTAGAGCTGCCTCGGGGGATTTCTCTGTTTTATTTCATATTTCTACAAAAATGAAAACAATCCGCCCAGATCTGCGATGACGGCGGGTTTTGCCCGTTTTATAAATAAGTTTTGCTTGATGCACAAAAAAAAAACTGGGGAGGAAACCGTTTTGGGTGATGATTGGATCACATTCTGATCACATTCCACTTCACATCCAACTTATCAGACACACGTGAGGTGTACAAACAGGCTCAGCTCAAACAACCCCATAAAAGTGGCAGTTACATACCGGTC